ACACACACACACACACACACACGCACACGCACACACACACACATACATATATATATATTTGCTTACCCGTCGGAATCCTGGATGTTGACATTGAGCTTCTTGCTGCTTCCGAGCAATTCTGAAACAGACGAGAAAATAAGCCATGAAGTTACATAGCAGCAATGACGGGAGAGAAGTGACATCGTCAACATCATCGCCACCTCCGCTATGACGGGCGATCCATGGCAGTAACATCGTCAACTTCACCGCCACCGCCGCTGTAACGGGCGATCCATGGCAGTAACATCGTCAACTTCACCGCCACCGCCGCTGTAACGAGCGATCCATGGCAGTAACATCGTCAACATCATCGCCACCGCCGCTGTGACAGGCGATCCATGGCAGTAACATCGTCAACATCATCGCCACCGCCGCTGTGACAGGCGATCCATGGCAGTAACATCGTCAACATCATCGCCACCGCCGCTGTGAAGGAGGCCATAAGCAACTCTATTTAGCTGTATTTGTGTACAACAGTGGGTGGAGAGAGAAAGGCATGAAGGGCGAAGAAGGGATGAGAGAGATAGGGAGGGACGGAGGTATGTATGGGGAGAGGAAGAGAGAGGGAGGGTGTGAGGGAGGTAGTTAGAGAGGGAGGGAGAGAGCGAGGGAGCGAGGGAGGTAGGAAGATAGTGAGGGAGGAAGTCAAGGAGGAAGAGGGGAAGGGAAAAAAGAAAGGAGGGATGGATGTAGGCAGAAATATGAGGAAAAAGAGAGGGAAGAGAGAGAGAGCGAGGAAGCGAAGACGGGCGGGATAGGATTGAGATAGGAACTAAGGGAGACAGGCTAAGAAACAGCGAGGCAGTAAACAAGGAAGGGAGGGGGGACATAGGCCTAAGTAAAAAAGAGGGGGAGCGAGAGCAAAGGGGCGAAGGGAGGGATGTGATGGAGATAAGAACTTAGAGAGACAGGAAAAGAAATAGAGCGAGGCAATGAAGGAGGAAGAGAGGGAGGCTGATATAGAATGACAGGAAGAGAGATGGCGAGGCAATGAAGGAGGAATGGAGAGAGGGACATATATGGAGGTGGGCGGCTATACA